TCTGACTGATATTGACGCGCTTATAGTGCAGCAGCAGCAGCAGCGTGTTGTAAGGGGTCCTACATATTCTGTAGTTGTTGGATTGCAGAGTTGCTGCTGGTGCAGGTTGATCGTGTTCTTTTTGTTGCTTGTTTTACGCAACTTCATGTTGTTTGTTTTTCTGACAAGGAAATTCTTTTCTCGCGTTCTCTGCTACCTCTCCTCTCTCCCAACAACCCACCAACTTACATACGCCGACATGGAACTGAAGGGAATCATCACGGTGAAAATAGAGGCAATACCTGGCAAAGAGAAAGGCATCCAACCAACCAACCAGCAAACTACGAGTAATTTGATGTTGCATTAAACCGCACACACACACACACATTCAACTAGAAGAATCCAGCCGTGGTGTTGCCTTTGCTGTATAACCTACATACTTGTTTTTGTTGTGTGGTGAGATTTATTTGTGAAAAATCCTACACCTTTCGTGCAAGGTGGAGACTTTTCACCACCGACTAACCTTACCACCAGCTTCCAACTCAACGCCTTTGATTTCTTTCCTCTCTCTATCTCTCACTCGCTGCTTTTTCTCCCTGTATACCTGATTTTGACACTTGAGGTTGCTGGCCACAAGTTGTGCTAAATATAGAGAATGGAAGCTCGTGTCTGCAATGAAAACGGTCTTCATGACACAAATAAGCATAGTCTCACATCACATATGGTCAACTCTAAAAGGTCAGAATGTTTAGTTTGAGATGCAGAATTTTATTCTATATTTTTTTGACCACGTCATCACAATCTTTGAATTTTACAGGCTGTCCAGAAATTTTATCCGGTATGAATGAACGAAGTAACGGAGGAGAGGAGCATTCCTACTTATTCTTGCTTCCGATGGGAATATGGCCATCCAACTCACTCAATGGAATGGATGGCAGTGAGAAGAGATCAAAAGAGTGAGAGCGCAATTGGGAGCAGCAATGTCACGACGAAGAGGACGCAACCCCAGACTATAATCCCTCAATTAAAGACGAGCTATTAAGTGCTTAAGTTTGAACCCTAATTTAATTCCAGCCATGCTCCCAACTTCTGTTTCAAACAGCAACTTTTGCATTCAACTAATTCAACCGAAATGCACGACTGGTGGGTGGTTGGGCGGTTGTGGGTGGCGTATTGTAAATTTAAAACTAAATATGGTTCTTCCCTTGGAAATAATAGAATGAAATGAAGCAGACTGTACTTCCTTTTCAATTTAATATGCAGTTATTGCTCAGAAAGTCTATTTTTAGAGTAAAATTTGGAAAACGTTTCATCTCGCTCGTTGAAATGATTTTACTCGTCACAACAAACAAACTTTACTACAAATGTTTTTAACTTGAATCATCTGAGAGAAAATTCAAGGAGGACTAAATAAATAAATATGCATTGTCACCTTCTAAGCACGATGCTGATGATGGTGCTTCCAGAATCTATTTTTGTCTTGTTAAGTAGTACGAAGTATAATTACCTTTACATGATACATAACTACATACACGGCCCAAGAAAATAGCATTAGGTCGGATTAAATATCGTTAATTAAATGGATTTAACCCATATACCACGGAACGCAAATCCATATAACATGGTAGCACACACATGTATTTAGGTATAAATACATGCATACAGGAGCTTATAATTCGCAAATCAATTATTTGCATGCCATAAATAAGTATGCGATAAAATGTCATGCAAAAGAGGCTGGAACAAAGTTGCAAAGAATATCTGTTGGGATAAAAGTTGGTTCTGGTGAAGGTGGTGCTTTTCCCTCTCGTATGTGAAGTGGCAGCAGAGAGAGAGAGAGAGTGAAGTGGAAAGTGAATAATTCCTCCACTTTCTCCACAATCCTCGACAACTCTCTTCCACGGGTTGAGGAGAGACTGAAGCAGTAAAAAGTGCTTTATTATAACAACCACCAACCCTTTTATACTTTATTCTATCATTTCTATTTCACTCAAAGTCAGACAGATTTATACGTGCTCACTTTCACCTCAACTTTATTTATCTGGATTGTACCATTCTTGATTTTATGAGCCCAATTCCAAAGTTTTCAGTATTGATGAAATATCCTCAGCATTGAGCAAACAACTCTTTCGTAACAATTTAGCCTACCGAACAGAAAATGTAATTTCAAGAGCCACCTTCACATGTACACGGGTCCATATGCTAAACGAAATAAAACGCCCTTCGTTAAAGATAGGAAATGCACTCACCTCCTCCCATGCACACCAATATTAACACGAAAAAGGGGATAGACAACTATATGCACACGTACATAGGTTGTTAAACCTATTAAAGTCAGCATTCCAGAAGAAACTGCACTTTCTCTCTCTCTCTCTCTCTCCCTTGCTATGAATGATTATCATCTGTGTGCAGTCGATGTTTGGGAGAAAAAGGAGAGAAAGAGAAGAAAGATTTTTTGCTTTTCCTCAGCTGCATCCATTGTCAGACGGAGCGAGTCGTCGTCTGCATTGAAGATGGAGGAGAACGGTTTGCTTTTAATTCATTAATTCCACAACCCTACCACGAGGAGAGCGCGCTGTGAATTACGGAATTATTATGGGAATGAGCCACGACCCTCATTTTTCTCAGACTTCAATCCACTCCAGTTCTTTTCTTCTTTTCCCTCACTTTACATCTTTGTGAATACTCGACTTTCAATTTGACATTCACTTTCACCACTCACTAAGCCAAACTACTTGTCTTCATTCTGTCGATGGATGTTCAACGTCAACTAAGACGAACAACTGACTAACCAACACGCCTCCTTCATCACCAACCCATTTCCATTTACCATTATTCCCCCCCTGTTTGCGATGATCACTTCTTTAATCTCGGCCTTCCTCCGCTGCTGGAACTAAGCAGATGGGAAATGGCAGCTAAAGGGATGACGATGTGAATTATAAATTACAACAGGCACCCTTCAGGTCGTCGTGCTTTACATTTTATTGCACACCTTGTTTTATTTCTACGAAATTCCACGTCATCTTTCTGGTTGTGACCTTATATTTTTATAAACTTAATTAAAAGATGATGTATTTGTTCTCTGCACATCCTCCAGCCAAGCAGGACCATATGCTAGAACAGGCAGACTAATTGGCCAACCCACTGATTTTAATTAAGGTGCATAAGATAAACTGTAAATGAATGCCACGCTTCCGCTCAAGCGTTATCACCATCTCACCAGCAAGCCAACCAACCATCCAGCCAGTCAGCCACCTACCACCGTCGACTTTCACTCACACAAGGGAACCACAACCACATCCAGGTTTTGACGCATAAGCAAACATTGCCATGCATGTACAGCCTCTCGCTCTATCTCTCTGCGTGTTATTTGTAATGCAAAGATGTTGGTTTAGGTGGCTGAGAGAGAGAACTAACTCTAAGGTCTCATCAGCCCTTGTTGCATGCATCCCACAGTTCTTAGTTTCCTCGACTGCTATCTCAGCTCCAAGTTTAATGCTAGCTCGGAAGAATTTTCGACAAAACCCAACTCCAACCACATGAATATACATCATACCAACCGCATCAAATTGGAACACCTTTGAGAAATGTCTGAGCTGGAAACTCCACCACTCGGTTTCTAATTTGAAAGGAGTGAAGGGAAATGAATAATGATTTCGCATCCTGTTCCTGTTATAACTGGCTGAACTGTGAACGAGGCGAAAATACCTGGATGGGAGTCGTAGTCGCGGTTGGTTGGTTGGGGTTGGGACAGGTGTGGAAGGAATGATTGGTAGATCCAACTTCTTGATTTCACTTCCCACCTTTGTGTGTAATGCAATATAAATTAACGCCAATTAGACCAATTTTCTCCTCCTCGCTCACTTGTTAGTTTTTGGGTCTGTGCTAATTCTGAGTTAATTTATTGTTTATCACCAAAACCTCACTCTGCATTATTTGCATCATGCTTCCAACCCTGACCCTGCTTTACCGCTTGTCGTATACCACTTGCAATAGCAATGATGATGATGATGGTTCTATGATTTGGTGACGCTGACGGACTTTCTCCTTGTTGGATATGCAATTGGGATATTTATATACTCAATGCAGTTCAGTAAAGTTTTGGCTTTCAATCATCTTTACTTTGTATCATTTAGAGGTTGGTTTACAAAAATAAACCGACATTCCTGGGCACCAGTTACTCTTACCGCTTTTTCTTATCATATGTCATTATTTTGTCACACACTGTCTCGTCAATCACAAACAAGGCCACCAATTATATAAATAATACAAAAGACAACGTGTTGAAGGGAGAAACAGCGGAAATGGGGAAATGGACTTATCTGCTCAACGAGAAGGCTGAGAAGGAAGGTGCTTGAAGAGCATTCCATGAAAATATGAGGAAGGCGTAATGGATGTAAGCCAAAGTGTTTCAAATCCTTGGCGACAATGGCGTCAACTTGGCCAGGGTTCAATTCTATGTGCTTGATTACTCCATTTGTGGCAAACCCATCCCGTTAAGAATATGTGAGGTTTTTTTGTAAAAAAAAACACTATTTCAATGTAAACAGATATTTTTCAAGTGTGCAAGCTTTTTGAAGTCGTCAATTCTAAACAATATTATGCATCGTGGTGTGATGATCAGCAGCGCTTACTTAACTTCTCGCTCTTCCATGTTCCTTAATAATTTCTGACATGAAATGAAAACCATGCTGACGAGAGGAGGATGGAAACCTCACAAAAGAACGGAAACGTCGTTTGACGCTTTGGTCCAATGAATTTACACAGCTGCGCTACTCCAGCTACATACCGACCGACCGACTCTATGTAATCATCACTGTCGTCGTCTTGTGTGAGTGAGCAGGGTAAAAGTCTGCTAAATTAATCGTATTCGCAGAACGAAGAAGCAGCTTCCTGGCGTTAACCTGGGTTGATGAAGATCTGTGGCACTTGGTTGGTGGCGCTTTCCCCGATGCTGCTGATGATACTCCTCGAGTTCACTGGAAAGACTGGAGAAGGAAGAAAGTGTTGTTTACGCTTACCTCGTGTGGATGATATAATGAGTAATCCGACTATTGTGGGTGTCAAGAGGAGGTGCCCATGAGAGGTTCACGGCTCTGGATGTGAAGGCGAGGATGAGAGGCCTGCCGGGGGGTTCGGGTCTTCCTATTATAGGAAGGGATTATATTATTATATTATTATATTATATTATTATATTATAGGAAGGGATCATATTATTCGTCTTCCTATTATAAGGGAATTTAAATTAATGAGTTTTGAATTGCAAAGCTGTTTGAGTACGACGAGTGCCAATTTTTCTCAGTGCATTTATAATTGGGGAAAAGTTCAGCGGTTGACCTCCGCTCACCCTCTTGATCTCCGCTCCTTTTTTTCCATCTTTTCCCATCTCGCTCGACCCTCCCAACATTCAATTTTTCTTCTTCGCTATAAAAATAAGTAATTTCCCTTGTTAATTTTTTCTCGATAAAAACAAAAAACGATTAACTAATTGTACCCATTGTTAAAAAATGGAGCAGAAACCTACTGTCTACACGAATAGGAAGGATTTCTTGCTGGACATGTACAAATATATTCTTCATGCTGTGTTAGAAGAGACATCGGATACGGGTGCCAAAAAAACCACTTCGAATTCGGTTATCCATAAGCTGGTGAAATCACATGTAATCATTCATTCATGTATTATATTTATGCATTTTCTTGCCTTATAAATCATAACTTAAAAAATGTACCAATATATGTGAATTTGATGAGGGCCAACGGCCATATATCAATAAACCATTCAATTCAATAATATTTATGTATTTATGAGGTTTAATTATTTATATCACTTTTGATTTTATATATTATTCGATTAGATGGACTTTTATGAAAATTTGGCCGGACCATTATACGAACCAATTACTGTTCAGAATGCAACGATCCGTCATAGTACTTCATCTTATGAGTGTAAAGTATGTGGAACGATTCTGCAACGCCAATCTAGCATTTCTGATCATGTCCAGATAAAGCACATGTGTAAGTTAAAGTAAAGATTAAATATCCTTAACCAAATTTTTAATAAAAAAACTATTATTACTGTTTTAGTTTTGCATCCATATCAGTGTCTGGAATGCCAAATTTCTTTCAACCAGTTAACCGCATTGAACAAACACCTTCAACACTACCACATCGAAATTCAGGAGGATTCGTTTTTTTATGAGGGGGGCGAGAATATGAATATTCAGTGTTTGAAGTATGAAAAGCTAGTCGAGACGGAAAGAAGGACAGACCACACCAATGCTATATGTTCAAGTGGATTGAAATTGAGACAGGAAATGAGATGGGGATGAGCGTAGATTTCACTTCATCTAATAATTTGCCTGGTGCCGCAGAAAAAATTTACTATAACAACTATGCTGGAGCAGAAAACGCACGAAATGGGCTTTTATCCCCTAATGCCTGTAGTTATGTGCAACAATTCCTAAATGGATGGACATTCTATCCAAAAGACGTGACGCCAATAGGATACCCATCCATGAACTTTGCCACTGCTACCACAATAAAAAATGCAACTCGGTTAGTGGCAGATTCTGAATGTGACAATAAGTTCCAAAGCTCATTAAGGCGAATAAATGGATGTGAAGAGATATTCCTGGAATCAATTGGAGCATGTTTAAAACATCTGCCAAAGCGAAATCAAGAGTATTTCAAGAGCAAAATGTGGATGGAGGGCAAGAGTGGTGATAACGTGAAGAAGGCGAAATTGACTGACAATTAAAATGTTAACGTTCCTTATATTATATGTTGTGAATTATCTTATATATATATGTCTTTATGTCGGATCTTTCTTTGTCTTCCTGAAAATACAAACATAAAGAAAATCTTCAACTCTTGCTCTCACAAATAATTCACACTTTCTCCTGGCACATCCATTAATCTACATTTTAAACTGTAGCTTAGCCAGAGCTAAACAACTTGTAAGTGAGGAAGAGACCCTCAAGTTCAAATAGTACTTCGTACACCCTTATCAGACACACACACCCACGTGCATATTTACGCTCCACAATGGAATCAAACTTAACAGACGTGTGGCGGAACTGAATTTTGCAACTCTTATCAAAGTCGACTAGGTTTGCATTCAGTATTCGGAAGAGTTGGGTCCGTATACGACTTGACGTATATTTTAGCCATGCATAAACTTGTGTGACATGTATGCTGCAAGTTAAACTTTCTTTAATCCAGTTCGAATGGTATCTAAATTTACAAGGTAAACTTGGCGTTGAAATGCCTCCAATAAACATATATGCCAAGAAGAAGAAGAACCGTTCTCTTGCCGCATCGTTTCAACACCACAAACACTTAAAGGTAAAATACGACAGAAGGGCCGATAAGATTAATTTCTCTGCTTTTCTTCAGATAAGACATAGAATTGAAGTCACAGCCAAATTACGCAATCTATCGAAGGGAACGTGCGAATTCTCTGTTTTCCTGTCCGAGTTTAAATTAAACTGCGTGTAATTATTCACTATAGAGTATTCTAGCCAAATAGATTCACATAATGCCCGTGTATAAGCAAAATCCGTTTGATTTCAATGCTCATGTAAAGTAATTGGTAGTAGTACTTACTTCCTTATATGCACATGCAGTAGCGTAGTATATTCTGATACTCTGGATGCGGGGGTAAAAAGTGAGAGAAAGTGGGAAAGTCATCCTTCTTGTAAATCTTATATTTCAAAATGAAACGTCACCCTCCCTCTTCATTTGCTTTCTCAATCCCGTAAATTATGAAGACAGCGAAATATAAAATAAATAAAAATGGATAATCCTCAAAATGGTGTGGGGTATGCCACCCAGCAAAAAGTTAAACTCGTCCTGCTTCATCTGTTTGGAAGAGTGCAGCGTGTTTGGCAAAGTGAAACAAAAAACCCTTCACGTTCAAAAGAACATTCAAACAAACTTTTTGTCGTCCCCTTCGGATAAAGAAACTAACACTTTTCGAAATTGGAATTTTTTATTTTATTTTCATCAGAGTTGCATCTCAAAATTATATAGAAATGAATCCCTCTCTCAGAGAACTGTATAAACTACAATTCTGCCACACAAGGAGATTACACACGTATAGGAAAGGGACGATAATCTTATTATTTCACTTGTTATTACGATATGTGGTTATCATCACGTTGGGTCCAGTGAGGCGCGAAAAAAGGACAATTCAAGTTTTTGAAGAACACATTGGACAGCGTCATGCTGCCTGAGGAGACCACTGCGAAGAAGCAATAATGTGCACCCATGTGAATCTTATGTTTGCTATGGTACGTTATCCACACCACAGTGCCGACAACCCTCCCTCTCTTCCTCTCTCTCTTTTGCCTTATCATTGTTGAGGCAAGATCTCGTGTGTGTTGCTAGGCCCTTACACACCAAGGTTTGCTTATGCTTACCCGACGCCCATAAAGATGCGGAAGAATGGAGTGGAAACTAGGACCAGCAGAAGAGAGAGTAAGTGAAAGCACCTTCTCCTGCCTACATCACCGCGTAGGGAATATCGTCAAGGGTGTGCTCAAAAATTTAGCTTAAGCTGCACGTCGCCACACTACTCACCACACGGAATTTCGGCGTATGTAATACCTCGAGCTTAACAATTGCTAAACTATAATTTTCAAGAAACATTAAAATTTAGAGTAATTTGTATATAAGTCAATCCAAATTTCCAACTATTATATTTTTTGTGGCTTGTTGTGTGGCACATAAAAATTTTTACCAACCACCAGAAACAAGACGTCGTATAGAAAGCGATATTGTTGTGAACATTCCCTAGAATTTTTTTCATCTCGTCCAAATTTGAAATCTCGAAGGAATGGAGTGCTGCCAGGACGGATGGAAGGAAGGAGGCGAAAAGAAAGTAAAACTATAGAAGAGCGAACCCCAAAAAATCACAAACTGGGAGAAAGCATGAAGAAACATAATTCGAATGCTGATCTGATCCTCACACTCCTCGAGTAATTTTAGACTCCATATTTTGCTCTGGAAAGATTGAAGAAGAGTTAAACGCTACGATTCAACCTAACGTCGTGTCGATACCGTCCATGTCAGCAACTGGCTCTGGATTTGAGGATGGGATCAGATTATTCGATTCAAGATGCGGTCAGTTGGGTATTGTGAGTGAGTGAGTGAGATACGTGGTATCAGTTCACACTCTCAGTCAATAATTCATACCGAGGTCCATTAGTAGTACAAACTGGTGGGGGTGCTGAGGTGAATGCTCAAACAAAAATATAAAAGTTCTCCTATTTTCATTTCTCTTCGTATCAAATACGACACACCATACACACAAAAGATAAAACATAACCGTGTTCATAGACTAGTTTTAAATCTCAAAAATGTTATACATACATTATAAGTTATTAATAACCATTATGCTAGCAATAAATCTGCAGCAGTTTAAAGAATTACAAATAAATAAGACTTTGTATAATCAAAAGAGATATCATTTTTCAATAGGAAGACTTTTGCATTCACAAACATCCCTTATGCGAATATTTATATGAGTGAATTCTAATTTGAATAGGATGAGAAGCTTCTCAAGATAAAAACTTTGAAGATCATAAAAATTCATTACTTTTTCTTTCAAAAAAGATTTCGGGGAAAACCCAGCTTTAATCTTAAAGCTGAATCTTCACAGATATGTATGGCTCTTCTTTTGCTGTGGAGGAGTGAGTGCTGGAGATGAATATATGAATGAAGGAAAATGGAACAGAAATAGAAGTCTAATTCCCATGCAGGATTATTATCTCGAAAAGTATTTTATAAAAAAGGCAGGCTTTTCGTTATATGGTGTGGAAGGAAAGGGTTGAGCAGGTTAATACAAACGGAGAAAAGGCAGGTTTCGTTTTCACCTGCAAAGAGGACACATGGAACAATAGTCTATAATTGTATTCTAGCTCCAACTATACGTTTCCTCATAAAATCACGTCGGGTGTGTGTGCAGTGCCGTTGTTAGGTTTCAGCCGAAACGTGAAGATTTATTTTGCGAATAAACCATTATTTTAACTCGAGGCTTTATGCAAAACTGTGTAGCAGATACTATAAAGCCAGATTTAAACATCTATCTGCATACGTATGAATGTATAGCATATAGTGTTTAGTCCTCACAATTTGCTCGCAGA